CTGGCTCTGCCTCCTCCTCCCTGATCCTCTGATCCATCTCGGGGCCATTGAGTCCTGTGGTCGTACTTCAGAGTATTCTCTCACTGGCCATTTCCATTCTTACTCATAGTTACTGCGTTTGATTCCTGGTGTTTCTTGCTTGGATTCTGCAGCAGCGTGGGGACAGACTGCTGTGCCTTTGACCTTTGGTTTTTCCTCCCCTCCCCTTGTGTCTTTTATGTGCTTTAGAGAGAGGCTCTCAGACTTCAGTGTGTGTAAGACTCATTGGGAGGGCTCCTTAAAATGCAGTTTATGAGCTGTCAGGTGTTCTCATATGTTCCCTGGTCTGGGACCCCAGAGCGACTCGCAGCTGGCCACATGATCCCAGTGACCTGACCTGAGACTCTGTCTCCTGGCCCCCTCCCACTGCTCCCCATGGTACCCTGTTTCTCTGGCATCACCCAACAGACCTCGCCCTTCCTGGCCCCTCTGCCTGGAGGCTGCCCTTGTCGTCTGCTACATGGCTGGGTATCTCCCGGAGAGGAGAGTACTCCTCTAGGCACATCTTCAGCTGCTGGAAGGTGTAGCAGGAATGAGCTTCTTGGGAAATGACACACTTGGGGCAGGGCAGGCCTTTGCTCTGCTTCTCCAGAGCAGTTGCATCATTGGGAAAGGTAAGAGGGCCTCTGTCAGTCGTTTGGGGGATGGCGTGTGTACCTGCTCACGCCGTTGAGTTGTGGGTTCTGCAGTGGCCCCCCTGGGCAGGGTGGCCTGGTGTCAGCCTCGCTCAGCTGCTCAGGGCCCCCATCTCCTCCACCTTCTGACCGCCAAGCTGCCTGCCTCCCTCCCTCCCTCACATAGGTCTGTTTCATTTGGGTTTAAATCTTGGTTTCCAAGTGTCGGTAATGTTCAAGAATTACTTAGGGGGCTTGTTCAAATGCAGATTCCTAGATCCCACCCCCCAGATAGTCTGACCTGGGGAGCTGAGACCTGACTGGTGCCCAGGAGGCCTGATCTAGGCCCCAGCAAGTGGCCCTTGCGCAGATCCTCCCCTTTCTCCCTTAGAACCCAGAAGCACAAAAGCCTGCTTTGCTACAAAGAGACTGGAGAGGCTCTCTGAAGGCAGGACATTTGCTCTGTTCTGCTCAGATAGTCTTGGGGACAAGTGCCTGCCGCAAATGGAGAAGAGACTCTAGTTTTCGCCTTTGTTGTGTCCAGAAGCTGAGAGAGGTGAGGTGGAGTCACCTCATCTTCCATGTCCCCGCTGAGGTCTTGGTGAGAACCTGCAAGGTGTCCATGGCAAGGGGGAGGCAAATAGCAGCTCCTCAAGCTGCAGTTCCCAGTCATGGAAATCATGGCTTCTGGAATAACAGTCTTCAGTTATACCTGTACTTGCAAAAAGCTCCAACAATTAAATGTATTCAAAACATTTTCTGCATGTGATTATGTAGAGTCATGCACTTTCATTTATTTGAATTTTTTTTTTTGCTGTGGTGTCTCTTTGTTGCTGCTCATTGGTTTTTTCTTTTTTTCATTGGCTTCTTCTAGTTGGCGAGTAGGGGCTACTCTCTAGCTGCTGTGGGTGGGCTTCTCATCTCAGTGGCTTCTCTTGTTGCAGAGCACGAGCTTCAGTAGTTGTAGTACATGGGCTTAGTTGTCCCATGGCATGTGGGATCTTCCCAAACCAGGGATTGAACCCGTGTCCCCTGTATTGGCAGGTGGATTTTTATACAGTGAACCACCAGGGAAGTCCATGCACTTTTAAATTATCAAAGAATGCTGTTACTTTTGAAAACTGTACCTGCAGCCCCTGGAAGCATATGTGTGTGTGTGTGTGTGTGTGTGTGTGCGCGCGCGCGCATACACACACGTGGCCTTGCTGCACGGCTGTCACCAGAAGGTGCTCTGTCTCTCTTGTTTGGAGGCAGCAGCACTGGGTCTGCCCCATCACACAGGATGGGATTTGAGAGGAACAAGGACAGTTTTCTCAGGATTGTAAGAGTTTCCAAGGGCGGCCTACGCATGATAATTCACTTTCTAAAAACAACCTGTGCAGCTCGCGTGCCTCTGACGCTGCTTCTGTGCTCAGACCTGGCTCCTGCTGTCTGCAGCTCGAGACGAGCACCTCCCTTGACACGCAGTGCCCTCAGCCTCGGCCCCTTCTTCCTTGTGGTCGGCTCTGGGGAGGTTGGGGTCAGGTCCCCCGACCCGTTGCGAGTGGCAGTGTCCTGCGGCTGTGCTGGGGCCCCAGGAACGGCTTGCCTTGGATTGTGAGTCACTCTCCCTTATTAAGCGTTAAAGTATAGTTGATTTACAATATTGTGTTAGTTTCAGATGTATAGCATAGTCTTTCAGTTTTTTGTTTGTTTGTCTTTGCAGATTATATTCCATATAGGTTCTTACAAGACTGTGGCTTTAATTCCCCTTGCTATATAGTAAACCCTTGTTGTCTACCTATTTTTTGTATAGTAAGTAACAAATTTACAGTTATCAAAGGGAAAGGGGAACTGCGGAAGGGACAGATGAGGAGTATGGGATACAAAGTAACTGTCCTTTCTGAGCTTGGGTTTAGGTCAGGTGCAGATCAGGGCATTCTTTTCTCAGACTTTGTATTCTTATACTTTTCAAGCTGAGCTCACTGCCAAGGTGATTTCTGTCTTCTTTGTCAGTGGCAGGGTGTTCTGTGGCTCTGTGAACAGACTGCAGGCCGGGATGGCTCCCCACCCTTCCACTCAGTCTGTTCCTCTCCTTGTGCCCCAGTCCCCTCCAGGTGGGGGCATCTGGTCCCTTCCTCTGGCTTTCTGCTCCTGGCTCAGCTTTTCTCCCTTCCTCTCCCCTCCCCCTCCTGGTCCTGGCACCACTGTAACCGGGAAGGTGGCTGATTGTTTTTTGTATTAGGTCTTTTGGTTGTAATAATTTCCCTTCTCACAAAAATTCCAGTTATTTGAATTTTCCAACTGTTCGGGCTCTGGCTAAGTGGGGCTTAATTTCACCTGAGGATCTGAAAACTTGGTGCTTATCGACTATACTGTTGAAGATGTTGAGGAAGGGAGATATTTTGATAAGTCAGTGGATGCAAAATATTATGCTTTCAAAATGACTCTTCCTTCTGGTCCTTCGAGGCTGAAGCATCCTGCCCACATTGCATTCTGCCCTGGGCTTCATTCTCTGTGACTAGCCTTGTGGGCTGAAGTCACTTCCTGATCTGTCTCCCCTCTCTTTATTTGTATCATTCACCTTAGCTTTTACTGCTTTGTTAAAGGCAAAAGTAATGCACAGAGTGTAACTCTAAAATGTTTGGAAGCTATGCAGTATTATATTGTAAACCTGTATAAATTCTTAACAAAGTTAGTGGTTTGGAAGGATTTTCGGGAGAACTCCATCTAAAAGGTAGTAAATTCCTTAAAATAACTGAACTTTCTGCTTATAACAAGGTCATTATTTGGCAGCATTCATGTTTTTAAAGCTTTCCAGAACTTGGAGGAGGAAATTATTCTGAGACAATGTAGTGATTGAAAAATAAAACTAATAAATTAACATTTTCATTGTTTGCCAATGATCGATTTCCTTTCTTCCAATGTTTTACCCCACATTCTGAATAAATTAAACCATGTGAAGAACTAGAAGATTAGCTTTACTTTTTTTTCTGGTTGAAATTGGTTTTGCAGAAGTGGAAATTTGGCAGCAAGTATGGAAACTAGCAAATCAGTTTACAGTGTTCTCTGCTTTCTTTAATGAAACCTGAAAGAATGAGGAAAGACTCTATGGCGTCAAACAAGAGAAGACTAAATTGTGTATGTTTTCTGAAATTTTATTTTTACTCTTAATTATTCAGTAGCATGTAGAACAATATGTCCAGACTCTAGTTGGCTAGTAGTTGCCTCCCAGCGTGTAGAATTTCAACTTCAGTAGTTATTTTTTGCTGATTTCATGGAGATGTTGTGAAATATTTTCTAAGAATAGTCTAAAATGAAGAGGAATGTGGTAATTTAAGAAAAAACTGTGACCTAATGGCATATAAGCAGTTGGCTGATGTCCAACCAAGACATTGACCTCTAATGAACTTGACCTCTAATGAGGTGGTGGAACCATGGATGTATTTTCAGTTAAAATGACTAATTAACGTGGGGTTGTTGACAGCATCTGTATTTCTCTCACATGAAGTGGGGCAGATGGATGTTTCTTTGAACAATGGTTTCCTCATCAATATACGTTTTCCAGCCTGCTGCAGCTCTCGTGAGCACATCTGATGGAACATGGCTTGCGTATAGTATATCTGAGTTGCAGTGTCAGATAAACAACAGGTTTTATTGACTTTTAAAAAACATGTCTCTCTCCATCCTTGGACAGTTTATAGGTTTCTACACCGGGCCTGGTCCTGCCTTTGAGTTGATCTCCCTGTGTTCTTTCACTCCCTCACTTGGGTGCTGACCTCCCCTTTGCCCAGGTGGCCCTTCCATTACCCCAGTGGTGGCTCCTGTCACCTGAAGCCAACGTGAACATGCTGCAGTGTTACCTAAATACCTGCTGTCAAGAAAGTGCTCTCTGCTGAGGGGTCTGCTGATAGACTTAAATGTTGAGAATTCCATGAGGCATAGTCAAGACTAAAATGATCTTGAATTTAGTTTGCTTCTTCATGCTGGTTTGGACACCTTTAGGATTTCCTGTATCTCTGGTTGCTATGGCAGGGGCTCAGCATCTGTGTGAATAAAGGTGGAGAGAAGCCCACAGGACGATGGCTCCCAGGCCCCCACTACTTAAGTCTACTGATGGAGACTGTGGCCACCACTGAGGGTGGAAGAGTCTGGTTTTGCCTCTTCCCATGGCTTCAGCATCTGGCACAGGGCCCAAGTGTTGGAGTCTGGAAGCCCATGTGGAATGAAGGCTCCTCCTTCCGCTTGAGTCAAAGCCAGTCACTGCGAATGTGCAGAAGCCCTGGGCCCACCACCTCTCTGACCTTGTTTCTGGGACCCTTGCCCATGTTCACTGTGTCCAGCACCTGTCCTTGTTCCGGAACCTACCCCAAGAAACTCCTGTCAAATCCTGGCCTCCTTCCAGCCTCAGGGGGATGCGCTGGCTCACCCTGTCTGCTGGCACAGGTGCCTCCATGGCACCTGCGGGCTGGATGCTGGTCCAGGGGTCAGGGGTTTGGGTGGGCTTGGATGCTCTTGGGTTGCTGCCTCCTGCCTCCAGTCTCTTCCCAGTGTTGAGTGTTCACTTCCTCCCAGGACCAGGCACTTGGCTAGTAGGAATAGCTCTCTACCAAGAACTGGGTCTCTATTGGATGTTAACTATTAATATAGGTTGGTAAAAAACTGAGGACAGTTTTCATCTTTGGCTTCTGAAAACTGGTCTTGACATTGACGGGCTTGCTCGTGTCTGTCCTGCTTCCCCTGTTACATTTTGGGTTTTCAGGAAACTAACAACCTAGGTCCTCCTTATTTTCTGAGAGTACATGGCAGGAAGTTTGGGATGTTATAACGGGTCTTCAAAATGCCACTGCTTCTCCAGCCTGCGTTGAACCTGCTGTGTGCTTGCCCGCCCTCCCCCAGCCTTTGAGGGTCAGGACTTTGGCACCCACACGGCCCATAGCATCTGCATTTGAATGTGAGTGAGGCTGCTGCATGGAGGTCACTGGATGAGAGGCCCTTCCAGGAGGCCTCATACACCGACAGGGAGGCTCTGAGGCAGAGAAGGGCCTTGATGTCCTGCAGTCCTCATCATGCTTGGGGATCTTTTCTGGAGGCATCGGGCTTTGCCTTTTTTTCTTCCCTTGAGTTTGGAAATCAAGGTGCTGAGGCTGGGGTGCCAACCCATGAACTGCCCCCAGGAACAAGGGGACTGATGGATGAAGGGCGAAAGGCAGGAAGATGAATGGTTTGGGTGGAAACAGGTCTCAGACCCTCCTCCTTTCAATTTCTTGTGCTGTGACCTCTACTCCAGCACTTTGTGACCTTAAAGATCTGTAAAGTGAAAGTTGGAAAAAGTCTGCATTTGAGGGGGCCCGCTGCTCAAAGTCATTGTTCAAGGGTCGGGTCAGTTTTAGCAGTAAACTCCCCACCCTGGACCAGAACACCACTTAAAGAAAGCCGGTGTCTTCTTTGACGTTTCCTTAAGGTGCTTTTACTAGTTTTGCCGAAAACTCATGTTCTCCTCAGTTCAGTCCTCAGTTTGGTTCGACTCTTTGCCACCCAATGGACTGTAATATGCTAGGCTTCCCCGTCCATCACCAATTCCTGGAGCTTGCTCAAACTCAAGTCCATCAAGTTGGTGATGCCATCCAACCATCTCATCCTCTGTCCCCTTCTCCTTCTGCCTTCAGTTTTTCCCAGCATCAGGGTCTTTTCTAATGAGTCGGGTCTTTGCATCAGGAGGCCAAAGGATTGGAGTTTCAGCTTCAGCATCAGTCCTTCCAATGAATATTCAGGACTAATTTCCTTTAGAATTGACTGGTTTGATCTTGCAATCCAAGGGACTCTGAGTCTTCTCCAGCTCCACAGTTCAAAAGCATCCATTCTTCTGCGCTTAGCTTTCTTTATAATCCAACTCTTACATCCATACATGACTACTGGAAAAACCATAGCTTTCACTATAGGAACCTTTGTCGATAATACCTCTGCTTTTTAATAGACTGCCTAGGTTTGTGTTTTCCTGCTAGATTTGAAACATTACATCTCTGTCTAGGCCCCGCAAGCTTCCATCTTAATTAATGGTCTTTAAGCCTTGGCTGCACGTAAGCAAATACGTGCGCACCTACGTGTGCGTCATATGCATGCGCGCGCCCTTGTGTGCGTTCGTGCTTTCCTGAGTGCCTGCGTACGTACTGTGTGCATGCTTGTGTGCACATCTCAGAAGCTCAGCCCAGCCGCCACGTTGGCTGTTGAGCCACCTCGCAGTACAGCGGTGCCCCGGCAGCTCTTTGGCCTGGTTCCTCCACAGGGGGTTCTGGCCTGTGTAAAGTTGAATGATGGAGCTTCTGAATGTTGCGGCCCGAGGCAGTCGGGCCAGAGCAGAGCGGAAAACCGTCCGGTTTCTTGTCAGGCCATAGGCCGTTCACTTGGCGAGGCCCGACCTTCCTCAGGAGTTGGTGTTGGCCGTGGGCCCGGCCTGTGCAGGGGCCACCTGGGCTGGACTTGTCGGTGGTGGCAGTGGGCGGTGAGCGGCACCACCCCGGGCCGTTTGCGCTGGAACAGCTCAGCCCCGGGGAGAAGGCGACCATCGCTGGGTCCTGGCACCCTAAACCTGGTCCTGTGTCAGTTCGTCCAGCTGCCCGTGGGCTCCTCTGCGGCCCGAGCAGTTGGGATAGGAGTGGTCTTCTGCTTCCCTAGTCCCTCCGTAATGAGCCCGCAGCTACTGCTGATGGCTGAAACCCTGCCCACGCACGGGGGTCGTCCTGTTCTCAGGGGCCCCTGTTCCAGAGGACCGGCTGCCAGGCCTCATACCAGCCTCAGCCTTCCATTACGTTAAAGAGAATTCACCGAGGTTGTGCAAGTTAAGAATGGCTGTGGCTCTGCGTTTGCCGGTTGCCCAGTGGTTAAGAATTCATGTTCCAACGCAGAGGATGCCTGTTCAATCCCTAGTGAGGGGGTACGAAGATCCCATATGCGCGAGGGCATCTAATTATGTGTGCCACAATGAATGGTAGCCGCGCACAGCAGTGAAGATCCCACGTGCTGCAGCTAATGCCTGACCCAGCCAAACATATTAAAAAGGACATGGCCCATTCCTTGGTTTCTCCCATGACCTGAACCTTGTGCCCTTCTGTGCACCCTTCACGTACGAGGGGCCCCCAGCGGCCTGCTCCTCTGCAGGGCTGCCTAAGCCCTGCTTTCCACTGGCTCCTCACGCCCCCAGCCGCAGCCTCTGATTGCTAGAAATCAGAGGTCAGGAGGTGGACCCATCCTCAGGTGCTCAGCATCGGGGGTGGTTCAGGAGGACCGCTGCCAGACCTTGTGTGAGCATCTGTGCTTATTCTCTTGAGTGAAACCACCCCTCCCAAGGCTTAGTTTCCTGGGTTGGGGCATGTTATTCATTCTCAGCCTTCTTTCTCCAAAGCATTGAGCTTTGTGTGGAGCTGTGCTTTGTGGGAAGAAGGAAAAGACCTGCACTTACAGAGCTCAGGGTGGAGGGAGCTGGGTGTGTTCTGTCCTCTGGGCCTGGTACTTCCTCTGCCTGAGGGGGGAGGATGGCTCGGTAACCCCTCGAGTTCCCTGCTGTGGGTCACTGGCTATTTTCACATGTAGAAATAGGCCCAAGAGAGCTAGTTATGCTGAGAAGTGATGAGTTTATTGAAATTCTCTGCCTTGTTTGTCATGGAACTGGTGTTTTGAGTTTTTCTTGGCTTTAGTGTGCCAGTCTGCTGCCTAAGAGGTTGAGCACCAGGGATAAATCTTGGAAATAATGTTCAGATTTATTGAGTGGTTTATGAGGGAGTAAGAATATATAATAAGATCCTGAATATAGATTTCGGAAGAGTATGGTGTGTTTCTATGATGAAAGAAGTTTTAATTTTGTACTTTCTTTAGTAATTTAACTGACTTGAATGTTTTAAAATCTCTCGTTTTTATACTAGTCCTTTCAAAATGTAAAATAGATACAACTTGAGTAACAATATTCTTTGTAATAAAAAAAAGTAAGTTCAATCTCAAGGATAGCAGAAAGTGGATGATTTATGCATTCAACTTTTAAACAGCTTAATGTCTTGCTTAAAAATTACAAATCATCGATAAAATGATGATCTTAAAATCAGTTAAAAAATGATCTTAAAGAACCTTTGAAGTAGGTTGTCATGAAGTTGACAGTAGTGTTTTGTTTCAGATTTAGAGTCAGGGCATTTGACCTACACAGATTTTTCCATTTTGGTTGGGAATGAATACGTATACAAATGGAAAGTTAAGAATGATTCTGACTTTGGAAATTTTCTTAGGGATTTTTTTTTTTTGTTTGTTTAACATTCAGCTAATAGCTCCATGCCCAAGAATTGGTAAGGATATTTGGCAAAAGTGGTAACTATGGAGCAGAACTACTAAGCAGTGACTCAGGTTCACAGGTAAAATGACATAACCAGTCCCAAAGAAATTGTCCATTCATCGTTTGGAGATAAGACAAGATGCTCAGTGTCTTCCATCTATTTTGAAATTAATTTTGAGGCTCTGAGTTCTGCTTTGAAGGATTGCACAAATTCTATTGCTTTGGCCTTATTGTAGTAACCAGAGATTGACAAAACATAACCCTTTTAATTTGGCTTACAGTTAGTCCCCTATATAAAAGTGAGTTTCATTCTGAGAGCATACTCGTAAGTCTCATTTGTTTGTAAGTCCAATGAATTTAGCCTAGATCCCCATCAATTAGCTATATAGAACTGTACTGTAATAGGTTTACAATACTTTTCACACAAGTAATATACAAAAAACAAGCACAAAAATAAAACATTTTAAATCTTACAGTATGGTACCTTGAAGAGTACAGTAGTACATTACAACAGCTAGCATACAGAGGCTGGCATCGAGTGAAAGAGCAACAAGAGTTACTGGCTGGAGGGAGATGGTAGAGCTGAAGGATCATTGGCAATGGGAGATGGATAGCAAGCTGCAGTTTCACATGTGATGCTGCTGGAATGCGAACTTGAAGGTTTTTATGTAGGGGACTTAACTGTATTTTAAAAAAATGTTAAGGGCCTCCCATGTGCTACATATTCTTCACAAGCATGATGATACCAGGGTGATGGTGATTTGCATTCTTGCCCACAAAAAGCTCATACTCAAATAGGAGAAATGAGTTTTTGTTTATGGACGGATGAGGCAGGTATGGAGAGCTGTTTTGATGTGGTAGTGTGTGCATTTAACATATGCATGTATTATAGACTCCTATGTTTAATTAGCAAATTAAATATATTTACTGTTGCTGCAAAACAAATGACTGTAAACTTAATAGCTTAAACTGACACCCACATATTATTTCATTATTTCCATTGGTTGGGAGTCTGGGAATGGCTTAGCTGGTTTTCTACTAAGGATCTCAGAGGTTACAAACAAACTTCAGCCCAGCTGTGTTCTCTTCTGGAGGTGTGAGTGGGGCAAGAATCCACTTCTAAGCTCATTTAAGTGAACAGGATTCGATTCTTTGTAGCTGTAGGTCTGATGTTCCTGTTTTTTTGCTGGTTGTCAGCTGGCGACTGTCCTCAGTGCCTAGAGGCCCCTGTGGTTCCTTGCTGTGTGGCCCCCTCACAGGCCCTTCAGAGATGATTGTGCACTTCTTGAGAGCTGCAAAGGGAGTCCCTCATTTTCTATTAATAGTAGGCTGACATGGAGTCTTAAATAGTGAAACCAGATCAAGGGAATGACATCTCATTGCTTTTGTCATGTTCTGTTGGTTAGAAGCAAGTCACAGATTCTCCCAACACTTATGAGGAGGGAATTATGCAAAGGTGTGACCTCACTGGCAGTCACCTTAGAATTCTATCCACCGTATACATTGTTGGTTATTCCACTGACTTGTGCTCCCTGGAAATCAGCATTTGAATCCCAGGAAGACTGACAGGAGCAGTCTCAGTTGAGGAATAAAACCATCATCAGGAAAGTCAGAAGTTGGTTGTTCTCTTCTCTCAGTGAGTAGAAGGCAGGAGGGAATGTCTGTAGGTTCACAGTATTGGTAGGAAGGAGTTACATAAAAATAGAGGGGTATTTGGCTTGTGTGTTCAGGGTGAATGTCCACAGGAATCTCACAGGGTCCTTTGGCTGGATACAGAAATTTTTTATTTGAATGTCTTAGTCTTGACTGATCACTCAGGAGTGACATATGGCAGGAGCATACTTCAGGGGGCAGGTCTCCTGCTGCAGCACACAAGCTAGACAGATGGTGGCTTATTCACCCTTGGACAGGAATGTAATCCCACATGTTGGCAGGCTGGGTGCTGAGAGGTGCCTGTGCCATTTGAGACAGAGCTGACTGAGTTGACCTGGAACTGCTTTGTCAGGTGTTAGGTAGTCACCTGATGTGACCTGGAATGGTGTGAAGGACAGTGTGCTCATCAAACTGGGAAGAGGATGCTGGTGACAGATCGTGTGAACTGAAACTAGACAGCCAGGAGTCTGTCTTACCAGCAGGGTGGAGGGCAGAGGTGAAGACAGCCTTTGCAGACACAGATCTTGGAAGTAAGCACTTTAGCTCGGTCTAAGCATGGGTGGTCATTGTTGCTTCCACAAAATTAGACGTGTTTCAGGGGAGGAAAAACGTGCAATCTGTTTCCTTTACAATTAAGGATCAGTGATCAGTGTGGATGACAGATACTTTGGGTTCATAAGCTACAGCCATATTTAGGATCTCTGCAGTTAAAACCTAGTCCAATAAAGATGTTGTCCATTATATATGTTTTCTACCCGTCATTGAAGAAAAGGCCTGTGACTTTGAAGAAACAAGTCTGTGTCCTTTGATTGGAGACTGAGAACCTGGTGGCCCTGTGGCTGCTGAAGAGCTATTTGGGGGAGTTTATCCCTAGTTCACGCATGTACCCCAGATTGTGTGCTGGGGGCTTCTCTCTTCCTTCTATTATTTGATGCTAGTTTTATTCATTTTGGTGTTTGTGCCTTTTATTGTGACAGTCCTCTAGTATTTTTTTAAATATATTTAAAAAAATAATAATTTTATTTACTTCTGGCTGTGCTGGGTCTTTGTTGCTGCACAGGCTTTTCTCTAGTTTCAGCGAGCAGGGCCTGTTCTCGAGTTACATTGCACAGGCTTCTCATTGAGGGGGTTTCTCTTGTTGTGGAGCACGGGCTCTAGGGTGCACGGGCTTCAGTAGTTGTGGCATGTGGGCCAGTAGTTGTGGCTCCCAGGCTTTAGAGCACGGGCTCAATAGTTGTGGCGGGTGCATGGCCTTAGTTGGTCCATGGCACATGGGATTTTCCTGGGTCAGGGATTGAACCCATGTCTCCTGCATTGGCAGGCAGATTCTTTACCAGTTAGTCCCAGGGAAGCCCCTAAATGGGCATCTTTTAAAAAAAATTTATTTGACTGCCTTGAGTCTCAGCTGTGGCACGTGGGATCTTGGTTGCAGTGCGTAGACTCTAGTTGTGGCAGGCAGGCTCCCGAGTATGGGAGCTTAGTAGTTGCATTGTGCAGGCTTAGTTGCTCTGCAGCATGTGGGACCTTAGTTCCCCGACCAGAGATTAAGCCCGTGTCCCCTGCATTGAACGGCAGCTTCTTAACCACTGGACCACCAGGGAAGTCCTCTCTAATATTTTCTGGAATTTGGGGAAGGGGATGGTTCACTAAGGGAAGCCAAGAAATGTTTCACTGGAATTCTTTATTTTTCCTTTCAGCAGTTCAAGCTCCATGTCGGTAACATCAAAGTGCTCTCTCCTCATTGGACCGTTTTCAGGAACTGACATCAGTTTTCATATAGCTTATGCTTAGAAAGGTGAGTAGAGCTTGAGACTCTTCTCTTTGATAATGTTTGTGAAGCAGAG